AAAAAAAAAAAAAAAAGATACCTTTCAGTGCAGATTGTGATTTTGACAAAGGCACCATGTGGATTCCGGTGGCTGTCACTGATCACTGCGCCTTGCTCGTTAATCACCTGATGGGAACATCCATCCTCTCCAGCAAGAACATGGTCTCCGAGAATGGGCCTCCTCCCCTGCTGTGCACACCGCTGTGCTGTTAGAAAAGACGTGTGCAGTCCGACAGGCGGGTGAGGAGCCGAGCCTGTTTCCTGCTGACCTGGTGCTGGGCCACGTGTCTGTGCTCCCCACGGAAGGGCTGAAGTTTGTGAAGGGAGGACTCAGGCAAACCGGCCACTCCACAAACCAGAGGGTGCTGCTCCAGGAGAATTGGGCGCAGCTGGAGTTTGTGGTGGATTGAGGGGTAGAAGGAAAAGGTCAGAGAAGGTGTGGGAAGCTCCTGTGAGCCCCGGGCTGCTCTCCCAGGCCTTTCCCAGGCCTGCAAATTTCTACCCATCTTAGATCACCACTTCCATCAGTGAAAGTTCAGTTGGGAACCACCCTAGTTTCCTGCTCGCCGTCAGCAGACATGCTCTCCCACACCTGCACCCCACTGCGGCAGGGGAGAGGAGGTGTCGCCCCGCTCCCGCCCAGCTTGCGTTCATGTACCTGTGCTTGGGGTACCTCCCTTTGCCTCCACTGCCCCGTTAAACATGCCCGCAATTCTAGTCTCCACGGTCGCATTCGCTATTACAGCTCTTTGGCCCCAGTATACAGACATGTTCAAATACCTTCTGCCTTGTAACAAGTAAAGTCAAACTGTGAGTAAGGAAACAAAACGCCCTCCTAGATTGTATGTCCAGGTAATACAACACATATGTGTTCTCAGGCTCTTATGACGAAGAGGAGGGATCAGTTCGGTTAACAGTGATACTGTAGGATAATCAGCGATTCCAGTGAAGCATGGGATGTCATGGGAACACAGAGGAGGGGCGCCTCAGCTAGAGAGACTGAGGGGAGATCCGGGAGGCCTTCCTGCAGGAGGTGACATGTCAAGAACTCTTACTGAACTGAGGTAGTATTGGGTTACCTCCATTAGGTACTATCGCCATAGTGTGTCCACCACCAACGCCCTCATATTCCACCATAGACCCATCGTGCTTCTCTCTTGGTTCTTCCCCTCCCCCAACTCCCACAGCTGCACACTGAATCTTGAAATTATTCACTGACCAAGGGGTTATTTAGGCAAAGACCAAGGGAGGAGTTAAACCAGGGGAGGATTTAGCTGGTGTAAACTGTGGGAGCATGGCACCTTCTGGAAACCAGCAGTAGCTGGCAGTGGGGAACACTGGAGGAGTTAATGATGAGATTTAGCAGAGACCACTCTAGCCACAGAGTGGAGGAGGGTTTTAAAGTGTAAGTGTGAAACAGGGGAACGGTTCAGAAGGTTAATAATTACAGAGGACACCATTTGGTGAAGGGGCAGAAGTGAAGCATTGTGGGGCCTCCGGGTGGCGCAAGGATTTGGAACACAGCACTATAGAGCTGTCCACAGCTACCACAACATGAGTTCGATCCCCTGCCAGGGAGTGACCCACAGGACACAGCAGACCTCTCCTGTCTCCCTGCTGTTTCCCTCAGCAGTATACTTTGTTGATCTGCCTGTTCTGCTCCCCACTCTGTCTCTGGGGAGCCCCTCTACCTATACCCCAGTTCTATATGCACAAGTAAATAAATCTTTTTTTAAAAAAAGGAAGTGAACCATTGTAGAACTGAGATTGGTTAGGAAGAGAAGTAAATGAGGAAGGAGCAGAACAGGCCGACTGATGAAACCACTGCTGAGGGAGCAGCGGGGAGACAGGAGGGGTCTGCTGCGCCCTGTGGGTCCCTCCCTGACCGGGATGAGCCAGGGTCGAACTCGTGCTGAAGCGGTGCTGAGCCCTAACCCATTGCGCCTCAGAAATGAAGTCCTAACGGACCTAATGACCAGCCTTCCTGGGAGCCAAGGGGAGAAAGAACTGGAGGGCTGGAATGTTTTGGTCCGAGGTGGGTGGAATGGCAGTGGTGGTGGGTGTCAGCCCCCCTCGCCTGGCGGGTGTGGGACAGGCTAGGGTTGGGCGTTGACCATGGCTACTTGGAAGTGAGTCACCAAGCTAAGGAGGGCAGGACCCGAGGCGCTGGCGCTGGCTGGACTCCTGCCTCAACACTGGCGCTGGGGTTGCCAGAGACCCGTGTGGACGGCACAGTAGTGAGCCAGAGCCGCGTCCTCAG